GGAACAAAAAAAAAAAAAAAAAAAAAAAAAAAAGTAGCAGCAACTTTACCTTCGTGAGTAAACTGAGAGTTTCTTTTGGGTCACATTTTGTCAAAATAATATTCCCTTCATGATCTTTGCTCTTTTTACTTTTCTTCAGCAGAAAATCTGACAAGAACTCCAGGGGTTTGTCCTGAAAAATACCCCCCAAAAAAACAAAAAACAAAGAACACTAATTAAACCATTCATCTGGAATACAGGTTATCAAAAGAACAGCAGAAAAGAGAATACATTTCTGGAGCATTTTCTGCTTTCTGCCTAATTAATGTGTATGTCCAGAAGGCCAAGTAATCATTACTCAGTCAGCCGAGGGCATCCTCCAGTTAATCCCACATTCTAGTCACCACTTGGACTCTTGGCTCTCAGCTTCTGTCACAGTTAGGACACCGCGGTCTCGTGAAAGGGTCTCCCGGGATCTTCAGTCCCACAGTGCCCCAGAAGACTCCCTCAGCCCAGTGAGGAAAGCGGGCAGGAGCAGGCGGAGTTGCCGGAAAAGCTGTACACCCAGGCTCCTGAGCTGCTCCCTCGGGTTGGGCGCCATCACATTTCCATGCTGCCTGCACAGGAATTTGTTGAGCGCGCTGTGGTGCTTTTGGCCTCGGGGTGGTCCCGTCCCTGCTGCCTTCATCCCGAGCCCACCCGGCCGCCCAGCCTTTGGCCAGAGCAGAGGAGATGAAACACGGACAGCTGCGATCCCGGCAGGCAGCCGCTGGGTCTCTTTCTCCCACAGCCTGACTGGCATCCTCCGGGGAGGGAGCCAGGGGTCTTCTGAACGGGGCCTGGCTTTTCGGGAGGAATAGCCAAGGTTTGCTTCTACTGAAAATGTCACTTTAGGGGTGGGGATTTAGCTCAGTGGTTCCGGCACCTGCCTCGCAAGCGGCAGGGCCTGAGTCTGATCCCCAGTACCAAATTCAAAACAAAACAAAACAAAAATGTCACTTCGGGCTCCCCCATACCTGTTCCCAGCCAAAGTGTTGGTTTGCTTATTTTGTCCTTCTGCGTTTTCTTTCTCATCCTCTCTCATCCAGTGCCCCTTTGCCCTTCATCTTTTTATATCTGGTTTCACACATTTTAATTTTCTCCCTCATAACCCTAGCTGTTTTCACCATAGAATAATATTTTCATGAAATATAAAGCCATAGACTTTTGTTTTTTAAGACAAAAGCCGCTTCTGACAGACACTAAGCACAAGACAGAAAACAGTGCACCATGTAAAATTTTTAAACAATCCAGAAGATTTTCCTGGTTTTCTTGGGCCCAGTATCTCTCAGTGGCTGTTTTTACAAACTGATGAAATTTCTCTGAGGAATTGTGCTCCCAGATAAACTGGCTTTTAAAAATGATAAACGCACACTGAGAATTTGTCAGAGTGGGGATATTTCTGGTGTGCTTTTTTCAACGAAACACTTACAGAATGTTCTTTTGACAGCTCTTCTAATCCATCCACCAGAGCTTGCGCTGTGTCTTGGTTATTGAGAATGTCAGCCGTGCTCATGGAGTCAAACATGAATTGCCCTGGAATTAATTTATGTAACACATGTGATCGAAAAGAAAATTCAGTCTTCCTAGTTCTCTTTAGAGGACAAAAATACAGAGTAGGAGTAAAAAATCTTTCTGGAGAGAGGGTCTCATTACATAATTCAGGCTGACCCTGAACTCTTTATGGAGCTCAGGCTGTCCTCGAACTCATGGTGATCCTCCTGCCTCAGCCTCCTAAGTGCTAGAAGTACAGACATGCACCACCACACCTGGCATGGAGTGAAATTTGTATGATGTCATGAAATTTTTATTATGCCATAATTTTATTTTCCATTATTCCATCTATCATAGTCCCACTATGATACACAAAATGAGCCAAAAGGATTAAAGTGTGCAGCATATAGACAGAACCCACCCTGCCAAAGCTGATGCTGAACCAAATCTATAAGTTGAACAGTAGGAAGAGAACACATGAAAAGAGAAACTTATAAATTCAAGTGTTATATTCTCATTCCTGCCAAAATGTGCTCCTCATTCTCTTTTAGCTTTGTGCTCGAAACAAATATTTTAAGTCCTTGGGAAACAACGTACAAACAGATACCTTTTAAATTTTTATGCTTTGAACTTTTATTTGAAAACAAGTTTTTGCCACTGACTCATTATCTATACATATCATTAAAACAAACAAACAAAGAAACATCTATCTTGTCCAGGAATGGTGGTGCATATGTGTGATCTCAGCACTCAGGAGGCTGAGGCAGGAGGATCACAGTGAGTTTGAGATCAGCCTGGGCTTCACAGTGAGTTCAAAGACAGCCTGAACTACACAGCGAGACCCTGTCTCAAAAACCCAAACAGACAAACAAAAACAACCTTCCATCTTCAAGGGAAGACAGGGAAGAGGGAGTAAAAAGAATTCAGATGTGTTATGTACATGCAGCATGCTCAATGAATTATAAACGGATTTAAAAATGAATTAAAAACAACAACTTCCATCTCTAGAAAGTTCACCTTTCCACTTTTCTGACTAGTTTTCAATATCTGTGAAACAATCAGGAAGGACAGTTTCTCCCTGCATATAGCTTCATAATTATTTTAAAATATTGGGTGGACACCTCCTCAATGTAGTCGAGAAGATGGTCCAGGAAAATCACAGGGCAAATCCCTGCATTGGAGGCTTCGTGTAAAAAGATGCAGGACGTTTACTGACAGGTAAAACCTCTGTGTGTGTTACTGCTCTGGTGTAGACAGGGACTAAGTAGATATTTAACAAAAAGTAGGCCCCCCCCAAAAAAAAAGCAGGGGAGGGAAGGGTAGAGAGGCATAGATCTGTGACGGTGTGAGGTAGGTGTCTTAGTCAGATGGAAAGGACTGGCAGCAAGATGTTTCCCCACATGAGGAAAAAAACACCTCATCTTAAAGAATGGGCTGATTTAACAGAAGATTAAAAGGTGAGAGGCTGCGCTGGTTCCCTAAAATCTACTGGGATAATTCCATCACAGGAACGGAGTGTGACGGGGAAAATAAATTCAGTGGTGTCCAATAGGCTCAGCAAAGCACCCGGGAGCCCATCACCAAAGTACGCTTCTTAGGAAGGAAGGAGCTTAAACTGTAGGGCAATTTGTGTAATGGGGGCTGCAGCAGAAGAAGGTTTAACTGGGATGCCAGGCTCAGCATTTAGAGCAAACTATAATGGACAAAAAGACTCAGGTTTCCGGCTCAGCACACAGTGAGTTGTGTTGAGGCCACACTGGCCCGCACAGGAATTAAGAAGATGGTAACACTTCAAAACTGGCATCAGCGTCATCATCTTACTAATGAATATATTTGCTCTTGGGGGGAACTCAGTGTGTAAGTACTTGAAAGAAAATAATAAATACAAAGGGGATAAACTGCTACTGAAAATGTTAAATTTTACTTCTGCTATTCCTAATTTTGTATTTGCTGTGCACAGGAAATAAACTTTGAGTGGAACATGATTATAATCCCAGTGTTCTCTGGCAGGCTGAGGCAGGAGGATCACAAGTTCAAACCCAGCCTGGACAATTTAGTGCCTTAGTGAGACCCAGTCTCAAAAAAAAATTTTTTTTAAAGGGCGGGGAGTGTAGCTCAGTGCAAAGGCCCTGGGTTCAAACACGAATACAACAAAATAAAAATAAATTTAAGAAAAGGGAATAAACTCCATAATTAACATGCAGCAGAAGTGGCCAGAGCGCTTACCAATCATCCTGGCACCGATGCCCTTCTGCAGATCCTGCAGGAGAGGACTAAGCTCTTTCCTCACTGATTTCAAAGCATCTTCCACGAGGTCCGCGAAGTGGGCCCAGGTCTGCAGTTTGGATTCACTGAAGTAGACAGAAGGCAGAGCCCCGACCTGCAGCTGTCCCAGCCACTCACTGAGAACTGACATTGTTTTTTCCTTTTATTATCGACAACCTGAGCTCAGATGAAAGAATTCTACTTCTTGGTAAAATTACAACCCAAACTCAGTTGTATTCATGCTGGGCTCTTTATCCTTTCTCATTCGAAGACTAAAATTAAGCAGCCACGACAGAGTGAAACAAGAAAGTCACAGAGGGCACAGCAAACTGTTTCCAGTGCCTGTCCTCTAACCAACAGCGTTGGCACATTCTGCTGCTTGAAATTAGGAAATAAATAACTGCTGTCTTGCGCCCTGGGGAGCAGAGCCCTCGCCTAATTAAGATCGTACTGAAGTTTACTTTCATTTGAAAGGGCGAACTCCGGAAGATTCCTCTTGCTTCTCCCGTCTCTCCGTCAGGACCCTGGACGTGGACCTGGCAGCAGCTCTGTGTCTCCTGCGGATGCGGGGCCCACGCGTCCCCTGCACACAGCGGTCCAGCTCCATTATCTGTCCTGACCCGTGGGGGACCGCGTTTGCTTCGGGTCCCGCACTCTTACGGAAAGGCCCTACCTACCGTGGGTTCCTCCGTAAGGTAAATGAGAAGAAAGAGGAAGGCGGAGGAAGAGGAAGAAGGGAAAGCTGAAGGACAGAGAGAAGAGAGGCCAACAGCGGGCCACACCCCGCGGCGCGGGCTGGGCCACCCCTGCCCGGGCCACGCGTCCTGTCGTCCGGAGATGCTGTTTTACGAGCTAACATCAGTGGCTTCTGTCATTTTTCTGTGGAATCTCTGCCCTCGGCAGTTTTACTGAAGTGCCCACTTCCTCAGTCTGGAAAGGGCCTTGGCACGGCCAAGGGAAAGGGAAAGACAGGCACGGCTTTCTGTGGTTTCTCCAGCAGTCCATTCCCTGCTTGATAGGAAGCAAGCACATTTTAAAGGGAAAATGGGTTCTCGCTACCGTAGCAAAGCAAATGGTGTTCTTGTTGGCCAGGTGATGTTACAGTTTGATCCGATAGGTGCTGCTTTAGTATTTGCAATAACATATTTACTCTCAGGGTTGCTTCCTGTGCTTTCCGTCTCTGACAAGGCTACCGGATGGGGTCGAGGCAAGACACCCGCGTGTCCTTGTAGCCGCGTCTCGCCTCCCCGGACAAAAGCACGCTGACTAGGCCGGACCACGGGAGTCTCCCGTGTGCTTAGTGTTTCCCCAGATCAGCAAGTTACATCTTTGCTCGACTCTGAAAGCCGACGATTTCAACAAGAGTTTGTGTAAGCGAGGGTTTGGAGCAAGGCATTTGTGAACAGTAAAGGCCCTTCTGAGCAGACCACTCGGTGCTAGGAGAGGGCGCAGCTTGGGAAGCCCCGGTGTCCCTGCAAAGGCGGCCACTGCCACCGGTGTGGCTGCCTGGCCCGGTCGCTCAGTGGCCCCGAAGCCGCGTCCCCGGCGTGCACTTACCGTGTTGGTGCGAGCCAGTGACGACGCCGGCCGGGGCCGTGAAGAGCGTGCCGGTCAGCTGGGACAGACGAGAGAGGACCGCCACGCCCGCCTCTGCAGGCCAAAACGCCAGGGTGAGCCTGGGCCCTGCTCAGTGTGACCAAGAAGACAGGGCCGCGACGCCATCCCGCACCTCTCAGCCCTGGAGCCCCACGTCTCATTCGTGAGGATTCAACAACAGGGTGGGGAAAGGGGACGCGGAGTCCGACCTGCTGCTTATTTTCAAATGTGGAATGTTCAGCCAAAAGATGGAGAAAGATTGATGTGTTTTCCAAAATAATCTAACTCCCAGGAGCATTTTTATTGTGAGACGGACTTAAAACAGGTAAAAGCAGGGTGGGACACAATGGTCAAAACTTAGTGTGGCGCTGATTTCAGCCTTTCTTCAGTGGCACAACACACAGACCGGATTATTGAATTCAGAGTGTATACAGAACTCGGCATGGTACCCATGTGATGGATAGATGGACAAATGTATTTTAATTCTTTCTGGCCCCAGAATAAATAATTACTTGAAATTGTGTCAATTACTTCTTGGAACAAGATGGCAGATTTTGAAAGGCTTGGATGTCTTGCATAATTACCTAATGTTTTAGCTGACAAAGAAAGCAAGTGTCCAAAGGTAGACCTACAGATTTAGCCAACTGACTTCAGCGGAAGTGCAAATGAGATTCACTGGAGAGTGAACAATCATTTTTTGTTTATTTGTTTTGTCAGGGTCTTGCTCTGTAGTATAGGCTGGCCTTGAACTCACTGGGCCGCCTAGCCTGGCCTCAAACTCAGAGTGATCCTCCTGCCTCAGCCTCTCAAGTGCTGGAATTTCAGTCATGTACCACCATACCAGGCAGAAAGAACAGTCTTTACAAAGAGCAGTGCTAGACAAACTGGATATCTACACTGAAAAAAAAAAATTAAACCCTTATCAATGTCTTATAGTCTATTTTAAAAAATAGCAACAAATGGGTCACAAACCTAAAGGTCAAAACTATAAATCAAATCCTGCAAAGCGTAGGAAGAAATCTTTGTGACCATTGGTTATGTAAAGAGTTGTTAAATATGATACCAAAAGCATGATTTCTAAGAATAGTGATTAATTTCATTAAGAACTTCTGCTCTTCAAAATAAACTATTCAGAGACATAAATTATGAATCACAAGTGGGGAAAATGACCTCGCTTTTGTGCAAAACATTTGAACAGACACTTCTCCAGGGGAGATGCATGGGTGACAGATACTGAAGGATGCTCGGTCACGAGGAAACTGAGAGTGGAAGCCGCCGTGAAACACGGGCACGCGTCCACACGCACGGCTCACATCAGGACCCCTGGAGCACCTGACAGCCAGGTGTGGGCGCCTGTGGCTCTCCGCTCGTGTCTCCACTGGGAGAGCGTCCGAGGGCCCAGAACCGAGGGAGCGGCTGGTCTTGGGAAGGAGGGAAGACGGGAATGAAGGCGAGGCTGGGGTGGGGGGTGGATGGAAACGTGTAAGGGTTTCCAAGTGACTTCGTTTTTTAGGACGGTAAAGGTGAGGTCAAACACTAGGAGACAAAGGCAGGAAGGACTGGCTGAAGCGGGAGAGGGAGGGAATTGTCATCTCAGAAGAGAGAAGATGAGGACGGCGGAAACATCGAGACGCGGCTCATGGGGTTCGAGCGTCTGGAATGTACATCGGCTCGGTGACGGCGACGTCAGAAGGTCCTGCTGCTTCTCCCCCAGCCCAGCCTGGTGCAGCAGCCACAGGCTCAAAGAACCAGGGCCGGGTGCGCCAAAGAGCTGGAGTCGGCCAGGGCAAAGGGAGCCAAAGAAGCTGAGGCAGGAGAGTCGCCATGAGTTTGAGGCCAGCCTGGGCTACATGGGGAGTTCAAAGCCACCCAGAACTGTGTCGTGAGACCCTGTCTCAAGAAGAAGGAGCAGAAGGAAACTAACAAGTTGTTCAGATTATCACAAGGCGATGATGATCACGTGGGATAGTTAGTCCAAGTTTATCAGGTGAGGAGACAAGGGTGAAGGCCAGTGCCAGAGTGAAGGAGTAGGGTGTATAAACAGGAGGGATTCCGGGAAAGAACAGCTCAGGGGAAATATGTGAGCACCGGGTTTGGACGATGACACACAGACAAACTGTAGTTGGGAGTGACGCAGCTAGCAGGGATGACAGGCTGAGGGCACATGTCTGGAGTCCAGCTACTCAGGAGGCTGAGGCAGGAGGATTGCTTGAGCCCAGGAATTTGAGACCAGCCCAAGCAACACAGCAAATCCCTACCTACAAAAACTTACACTAAAAAAAAAAAAAAAAAAAAAAAAAAAAAAACCAAATTTGGGGAAAAATTAAGTCAGCAAATCCCTACCTACAAAAACTTACAAAAAAAAAAAAAAAAAAAATACAAAAAACAAAACCAGATTTGGGGCCAAGAATTCAGGAGACCTGATCGTTGGTCCAGCTGATGCTTACAGCAGCGCTGGCACCAGGGCCCAGAATGATGGTGGGAAATGTATTTTTGGTGGCATAAATTTCACCTGAGACAATTTTTGTATCACTACACTCTGTTCTTTCTTCCTTTTGCACCTATTCTCTCTGCTTTTTTGTTTTTTTGGTACTGGGGATTGAACTTGGGTCCTTGTGCTTGCGAGGCCGGTGGGGGAACCTCTGAGTTAAATCCCCAGCCCTCTCTCTCTCTCTCTCTCTCTCTGCTTTTGAATGTTTTGCTTTCCATATCCTTTCTTTTTCTTCTACTTCAGTTAAAAACCTTGCTCTGGAGGCTGAGGATGCAGCGCAGTGGTAACGTGCTTACCTAGCACAAGCAAGGCCCTGGGTGTGAGCCACAGTACCACAAAAGTAAATTTGCTTTGTTCTCGTTACACAAGTAATATTAGTTCATTCAACTGGGAGTGGGGGAAAAGGGAAAGAACAGATGAGAAAAGAAGGAAAAAATGGAAGCATAGCTTTTGTGAATAACATGTGGAGGGGGTGAATGGAGGGGGGGATGGGAAAAAATAAGAACTGAGATACGGCATGTACAGGTACAGCTTCCCTACGATGAATGTGATCATTGTGTACACCTAAAAGGTACCAGTAAACTTAATTAATTAAAAGGCATTAGTCCATGCAGAAATAGAAGCAAACAAAACATTATTTTAAAAGGATTTTTTTTAAAAAAGTGAGGCAAGGTGGCACACGCCTGCCATTTCAGCACTTGGGAGGCTGAGGCAGGAGGATTGCCATGAGTTTGAGGACACCCTGGGCTACACAGTGAGTTCAAAGCCAGCCTGAACTACCTAGCAAGACAAAAACAGGTTACTATGTCCTAACTTTTCTGGGAGGCAGCAGAAGTCCACAAACTTGCCTAGGGCCACTTGGCTACCGAGTAGTCTGAGCAGACTCCGGTTCATGTTGCTGGTCTCCAAGGTCACTCTGGGTTCAGAGCACAGAAGAGATAGTTTTGTCAGACTGGTTGATTACGGTTCCTCTCCTGGTCAGACACCTTCCCTGTTATTACAGGAGCTGTTTATTGTATTTTCCCAAATAGAAATAATGCTGCTGGGTCTTGCCACTAGCGACTTTATTTGCACAAAGAGGTTACCCTGGCTGCTATTCCTGACCCCTTCCTCCCTCAATATGTGATATAGAGAGAGAAGACTAAAAGGTGGCTGAGGAACCTGACCAGAGGGCATTTCACAAATTAACACACAAAGAAAACGTTGTTATGGCTTGGATCTATGATGACCCCTAAATTCTCACATTGGGAGGCGGCTGACCTGTGGGGTGCTCGAGTCATTGGTGGGCTCTCACCCAGTGAGAAGACAGTAGCTGAGCGTGCTGGGAGGAGAGGGGGCTTGGTCGGAGGCGTGTCGCAGGGAGTGTGACCTGGAAGGGTGTGTGCTTGTCCCCGGCTCCTCCCCTTCCTGTCTGCGTCTGGGCCACCGTGAGATGAGCCCCTGTCCTCCAGCTAGCCCCTTCCTTCAGGCTGGTTCTGCCGTGAAGCCAGCCACCACGGCCTGAAAACACAAGCCCTCCTTTAAGCGGGTGTGAGGTATTTTGTCCCCGTGATGAAAAAGTGACCACAACTCACATCATAAAGAAGGCACAGCCACTGCATCTCTGTGGGGTGTTCAAAGCTGACCTGATGCTCCAAGCGGCACAAAGAGGTCGATGTGTCCCCCTTCTTCCTCAGTGGCCACATGGCTTCCTAATTTCTCCCAGAAGTCTCTCACTTCAGGTCTCAGTAAATTTTCAATACCAATTTTATAGCCTGAGGGGGGAAAATGACAATGTCATATGAACTTGTGATGTTAACATGGACAGAAACTCTTGGCAGAGTGAAGAAATGAAACCAGAGATTGCAGGAGCCAGTGTCTGCCCATATCCCAGGAATTCCAGGACAGTGAGCCTCATGTGCACCAAGTTAGGGCCGCTGGACACCACCGTGGCCATCGTGGCCACTGCCTCCCCCTCAGTCTGGATCACCTGACGCTGGGTCCTCAGGCTCAGGCGTCCCAGTCTCCACTGCACAGCTGTGCGAGTTACCAGGCCGCGTGGAGTCTAGGGGGAGTGGCTGGTCAGGCCCTGGGATCTTGCCACTGAACTCCAAAGCAGAAATTCTCCCCACAGTTGTCAATCAAAAGAGAGGTGGTTGAGAGCAGAAGTAGGAGGATCCCGAGATGGCAAACACGAGCTGAAAGTCTCCTTTCTCTCTCATTGCCTGGGAAGTGATTCAGGGGCTCACTCTGCTGTCTGGTAAGTTCCCTGCCAGCTGGCTCCTTGATCGCCTTGTCCTCTGTTAGGGTTTATGTCTGGATGTCCCCCAAAGCCTTGTGGCTCCTAAGTGGGGCTTTTGAAAAGTGACCGAATCATGGGTTTGAACAACAGCAATATGTGATGTTAGGAGGCGGGTTGGGGTCAGAGGAAGAGGCCACCGGCCGTGACATCTCCCCGTCCAGCCCCTCCCTCCTGTCTCTGCTTTCTGGCCACCAAGCCCTGAGCAGCGTCCCTCTGCCCAGGCCTTCCACCATGCTGTGTGTGTGTAAGTCTGCCTACCACGGACTGAGACCTCTGAACTGTGAGCCAAATACCCTCTCCTTGGAGTTGAGAGTGTTGGGCATTTTGTCCCAGCGATAAAGAAGGTGACTGGAAGACAGTGTGCTAAGAAAAATACACCAGTCACACAAAGACAAACACATGTGATTTCACTTACATGAACAAGGTAACTAAAATAAGCAGAATGGGGTGATTGGAAGGGGATATTGGGGAGGGGAAAGGGTGAGCTATTATTTTTGTTTTGTTTTGCTTTTAGTACTGGGATAGAACTTGGGGCCTTGTGAGGCAGGCGGCAGAAACACTGAGCTAAATCACAGGCCCGAGCTATTGTTTAATAGATGAGAGTTTTGGTTTTGAAAAGTGAAAACATTCTGGAAAGTTGTTTGCAATATGAGCATACTTAATACCACTGAATTGTACACTTAAAATGGTTAAGACAGGAGCTTTTGTTTTTATTCACAACTTTTTAAAGTTATCAGAATTGCTTCACTTTTTTCATAAAGACAAAATCAATACTTGTCAGCAAATGCAAACCTAAGTTGACTCTGAAAGCCGTGCATGTAGAAAAACACTACCTAAGTGCAAAGCCATTCGTTTTTTGTTTTTGTTTTTAGTTTTTTGAGACAGGGTCTTGCCATGTAGTCCAGGCTGGCCTTGAACTCATTATGTAATGCAGGCTGGGCTCCAACTTGTAGCAATCCTCCTGCGTCAGGCTCCAGAGTACTGGGATTACAGCGTGCACTACCACGCCTGGCTACCTCGGAGTGTTCTCTCCCAATTCCCAATCCTACCTTGGAGTAAATTGATTTCTCTGCTGTCTCCGTCGCTAAATATCCCCACACTCCGTGCCTTCCGCCCGTGCAGGGCTTTCTCCACAAGGAGAAGCAAGCCGTCCAGGGTCCCGCCACTGTGCTCGTACACGGCCGAGAGGACCCCGGCCTGGACACTGTCCACCACCAGCTGGAGAAGGGAAGGAAGCTTAGGAGGCGAGGCCATAAAGGCTGTGTAGTCCTCTGTGATTGCTAAAGAATGTTTTTCAGGAATTATAGAAGTGAAACTTCCTCCTTCACTGGTTTCTTTTTAAATTATTTTATTTCATTTCTAATTATAAGTGAAGAAACTTAAGTTCACTGTGACTCCATCTCACAGAGCTGAATATTCTTAACAATTTGGGTTATGCACGTACACACCACCCACAGAGACATATCGACAACCTTCAAAAATACTACAGTTAAGATCAGTTTTGCAGACGACTTCTTAAATGTAACATTTTCATCTTAATTATGAATTTATGAATTATCAATGTCAATTGGTATTTTTCATTTAATTTAATAGTAAAAGCACGGTTCTTTGAATTCAACAAGTGTTTCCACAAGATAAAGTTAATTCACAGCAGCAGATGGTGAAAAGCTGTTGGCTTTCTCCAAAAACTCACACTTCTTTGTCTCCTCTAATCGGCTGAATAGCAACACACCACACGGTTGGGTCCCACCTTTTAACCCAACCACTGCCTGGTTCATGATCAAATACATACTCATGCCATCAACTCAGGCAGAGGTCACGAAAGGGCATGGACTCAGCAAGTTGTTCACCCCCGCTGTCTTCGTTTGTTCCCTGGGTCTGCACGATGCCTTTTCAAGCATCAGAGAACCTATCTGAAGCCCCAAGATCAAAGATACAACGTATTTCATGTAGCTCTGCCCAGTTCCCAGGTTGTCAGTGATGAGTGCCGACTTCTACCTGGCCAAGGGAAGATGCCGTGTCCTCCAAATAACCTCTGTGGCACAAATGGAACTCCAGTGGAAACTGGACGAGTTGGCAACAAATACAGACTCCTGAGCGTCACCTTCCCATCTGCCCGGGTTCATGTTCAGCACATGTGTCCTCGTGCCCAAATGTGTCCCAGCGTACACTGGGCTTGGGCCTCAAGAAATTCATTTCCAGTTGAGAATTCTGCACCGCAGGCCGCTAACCTGGTGCACAGCCCCGCTCAGCCACACAGCGCCCTCGAGTGGCACCATGAAACGAGGGTCCCTCTGGCAGGGGCGGCTCGGGAAAAGGGCAGGATTCAAAATTCAAAGTAGGGCTTCTACCAAATGCAGCTCACGTGTGAATTCTGATGAAATCGAAAACTTGGGAAGTCAAATTATGGTAAGTCTGGTCCTTCCGAGTACAAACACCGGAAGTATCACGTCTTTTTATGTCTACTGCGTGCTTCCTTTATTTTTCGTGTTCACGTTAAAATTTAAACCGATGACTTCCTTATAGAGAAAGTACATTTGAATTCCATGGCGCCCTTATTAAATAGATCACAAAACGGAACTTCAAACAGCCTTCTTCTGAGAGATGGTGGTTACATAATATTATTAAACCCTGTGCAAATTCCAGAGAAGTTTTACAATCATCCTTCATAGGCACTTTTTTATAAGTAAGTGCAGCAAATTCACTTCACTAAGAATATTTTAGACACCTATTAAGTGCAGGCAGTTTGCACCTCTACTGTTTCTTTCAAAGGAAGTTTGATTTAGGGTCCTTGTTTCCAGTTTTTAAAACTGCTTGGGGTCTGTAAATTTCCACTTAGATCAAACAGTTTCCCTTTTAGAAGATCAAGCATCTCTATACATGTGGTGGCCAAAAGATAACCACAATCTCTGGAGTCTAGCTAGAAAAAAAAGAGCAAAAACCCACTCAGGAAGGGGCTGGCCTCGTAACCCAGTCCGTACCTCATACGCAGGGACCCGAGATGATATTAATATGAAGTGTGGCTGGAAAGCACATGAAGAGCTGTCGTCCTTCTTATGAACTCCATGCCAATTTTTCTTTGATAATAAAGAGTAGGAATGGCTTCCAGAAACATTGCTTCTGCAGAGAACAAAGGGGAATCCATGAAGCTCTGACCTTTCCGTCATTTGGCTTTGGCTAAGTCAGCGCTGCTTCCCTGCAGACACTGCAGAGGACACTGGGCCTTGGGGGCTTAGACCTTTCCTGTGGGGTGGGGACAGCAACGGAGGGGCCTTCAAGGGAGTAGGACCGAATCTGCCCTCAGGCCTCTCCGCTGCCTGGTGTGGGATGCTGGAAAGGTGGCTTGGAACTCATCCTCACTTGAGCACTTAAGATTAATGTAATGGCACCCTTAGGGGCTCAAAATGACATTTAGAAGGGAGTGGCCTCTGGGTCCCTCTGGGCCTTGGTAGTTTCTGGGCACGGTCCCCAGTCTCTCCATAGCCACTCTACCTCCATATTACCAAAGGACAGGGTGGCCTCAACCTTCGGGAAGTCACTGTGTGTCTTGGCAAGGGCATAAATGCACTCACGACGTCCAGACACAGAGATGCACGTGCAGCAGCAGTGTGTGAGGCTGAAAGTGTTGGGACCTTGAGGATTTTAGGCTCTAGTCTTTGAGACTACGATACTTGGGAAACATGCCATTCATCTCTCAATCTCCTTGGAAAAAGCACGAGTGAGGTTATGTGATCAGGAGAATCTGAAGGTGTTTTTTTGTTGTTGTCTGTTTGTTTGTTTTTAATTGCTCAGCAACTATGTAAACTGTGATAGTTATGAATGTCTGATGGAATGGATAAATAGGGTAAGAATTGAATTTTGGGTAATTTCATTATAGAGCATGATTTTGGTCACTGAATGCTGTTAGTTTTTCTCTAATTTGGGTAATAAAATGGAATTACAGCAGCAGGGAGTGATAAACTATAACTGTAATCCTAGCTACTGAGTAGGCTGAGGCAGGAAGGTTGCAAGTTGAAAGGCTGCCTGAACAACTTAGTGAGGCCCCTTCTCAGAATCAATAAAAAGGGCTGGGGATGGAGCTCAGAGATACAGGTACGTATGAGCCCCTGGTTTCAACCATTAGTACTGCCAAATAATTGAGAGGGAGAGGGACGGGAGGAATGTTTATAAACATAAATAAGAATTATGTTTGGTTCTCTTGGGTACTGCCATAGTTTGGGTCCGGAGTGAGCCCCAAAAGCTCACATGTAGAAATCTGGTTGCAGCCTGTCTGGCTATTGGTGAGGGAACTTTTAGGACATGGGGCTTGCAGGAAAGAAGCGAGGTTATTGCAGGCAGCCTGTGAAGGGCTATGTGGGACACCTTCAGAGGTAAGAGTGAGCAGGCCCCCTCTCCCACACACACTGCTGTCTTGATGTCCCATGTTGCTACAGGCCCAAGCAAGGACAAGAGGCCACGAACTGAATCCTCCACAATCGTGAGACAAAGTAAACCTCTCTCTTCCTTTTAAGTTGATTTGTCTCAGCATTTGTCGTAGCAACAGAAAGCTGACTAACAGATAGTACTTGGGAACTTATCCCATTAAAAAAAAAAAGGTTTAAAAATGGTATTTGCTCAAAACTATATAGAAAATATACCACATTACAATATTGCCTCATTTCAGGGTTAAGTGCATATTAATGTCAAGGGTGAATGTTACATAATTCCTTCTTCAAAAGCCATTTTAAGAGACTGCCATTCTTGAAAATCAAGTCATTATTTCTGCTGATATTTATAGAATATGACCATATAATCACACAGTGTCCTTGTGTAATAGCTAAGTTATTCTAGAATGGGTTCTTGGTAACACGGGATGTTCTTCAGTTTCAGTAGACAGCAGTCTGCTTACCGCGAGGGTAAAACTTCTAAGGATGCCAAAACGAGCTCTTTCTCCAAAGCTCCCCGCAATCCCGCTGGGTCCCTCCGAGTCCCAGAGAGGCTCAGTTGATGTTTACATGTGGACGACCCGGAGCAGCTCACTCCGCTGCCCCAAGGCGGGCGAGCTCTGAGCAGCTCCTCTGGAAAACAAACAGCAGCGTCAGGCGGTTCATTTGATGCCTCTCCCAGCCAAACTGACGGAGAGAAAGGCATCAAAAACCAAGCCGTGCCAGGGCGGTCCTCCAAACGAAGGGCACTAGGCGACTTTCCAGCCCTGTCAGGATTCCTCAGCTGCACTCCGCAGCTGCGAGCAACCAGAGAGCAAGCAACAGTGCTGCGGACCCCAGGTAGTCACTGCATAGGCTTTCTCGCCCCTCTCTGTCCCGACCTGGCTCCGGGTAACTGCCCATGTGTTACGATCTCCCCAGAGTGAGAGCCAGGGGAAAGGAGCAGAGCACTCAGGCCTGTTTCCTTGCTTACTTTTACACCCTGGCAGTCGGAAGGCTTCGCTGAAAGCTTGAATCCTCCCTACTCTTTCTCTACAAAATGCCCTCCTTCCTGCTTCCAGCCCCAGTTTTTGTGTCTCCTCTTTTTCACCAACCCCAACTCGTCTTTCCCAAACCTATGTCTTGCCTTTTGCTAGTGTTTGTACTTCTTTATCCTCCTTGTTTTTGGTGACGATCTGACCTTATGTACTCTAAATATGCAATGGAGGGAAAAAGAGCCAACCGCGAACGTGCCTTAGAGAGAATCCCCACACGCTCTTCCAGAAAGACAGCAAACGCCCCTCTGTGGAAACTGATGCGAAAATACATTTGTCTCCATAGTGCTCGGGCAAGGTACAGTTTTTAAATGCTACTCACTCTTCCGGAGTGCAATTTTCCCCCAGATTATTTTCCTTAGGCACTTTTCCCTTTGCCTCTCCTGGACCTCCTCCTCCTCTGTTTTGGGCTCATTCAGGGTCCCATAGACAGCGGAGGCCTCCCTGGGTGTCAGCCAGTCTAGGTCGGACACACACGCGATGTAATGGTGTTTCCACGCGCCGTACTCATTGTGCGCCGGAGAGTAGGGCAGAAACCACCCGAGCTTAACACACTTGGGCATCCACAAGCAGTCCTTCAGAAAGAAAAAGAAGGGTGAGTTGCACATGTTTTAGGGTAGTTTTCCAGCAATAAAGTCTTCAGGTACACAGGGATTTTTTTTTTTTTTTTTACATCGAGATCTCTACAGTTGACTCCTGCCCTTGACTTGGCATTTAAACTTGACACAGAAATAGGAAACACGAGGCACTCCTTGGGGAAGGTGGTGACCGTATATCATATGTGAGTTGTGGCAGTTCGCAGTTCCGACTTACTGAAGACAGAAGACCCACCCGGGGTGTGAGTGGCACCAACCAAGAGGCTTGGCGGCTGAGTGGAACAAAAGGGAAACGAAGAATGGTTGGCTTCTGTTTCTTCGGAGAAGCTCCAGTCTTCACCTTCACTCTCAACATCGTCTCCCAGCTTCCAATACAGACCCTTCAGCCTCCTGATGCGGACGCACCCAGGACGCTATGCTGAGTACCAGCCCCTCACCTGGAACCTTTGGGTCTCCCGCACACTAATGGCCCTCTGCACTTTTCCACACCTGACTCGGCAGGCGGCTCCCCTAAGCCTATCTGGTAAATCTGTTCGCATTTGTATGACCGACATTAAATCCATTTCTCTAGTAAGATTTGACCGATACCTGAACACATGCACTAGTCATGGATTTGTACACTCATCCACTATTTCCATCGTGCTGGGTTATTTGAACCCCAGCTTCTGACAATTCAGTTGCTAGCAGTGGTGCAAGTAGTTTGTTTTCTCTCCCTGAGACCAATTTTGGTTGAGCTACACGATGGTGCCAACATGCAGCCACTTTTGACATATGAAAACAATAAATTCCACGGGACTCAGTCAGATCACATATCTAGACAAAATATTAAAAATAACAATGATTCGAAGGCACTCGAGGGCCTGTGCTCCCAGCCCTTGGCTGTGCCTAACATTTGGCATTTCCTGTCAGCTCAGGTGGGTGCCAGCTCCAAAGTGAAACTTAGGAGGCAAAGAGGCAGGGTGGAAAAGCGTGGCTAAGATTCAGACTGGGCGTCATAAAGGATTTCGGCATTCTTGCAGGAGAAAGCACACACCGAAAGGCAGGGCCCAGTAAAGGAGAGAGGCCTGGTAACCACAGCCTCTCAGCTGAGGACCTTTCTGGGGAGAATGACGCTGAGTTGGAGCAACTGTCCCAAGGACGGAGGGCAGCTTTGAAACTTGCATTTCCCAGCTTCGCCAAACACGAGGAGCAAAAGCGAGTGCTCCCTGCAGGAGGGTGGCTTTCACAGGCTCAGAGGATCACATCTTGTTTAGTCTGTATCTTGAGTTCAACCCAAAACAATCAATAAAAAAAAAAGAAAAGTGGTCTCATCTTTTGTTTTTGTCTTTGTTTGTTATGTTTTTAGTAGCCACCAGAGAGACCTTCTGGAGTGCCAAACATTGCAATTATAAGACAAAAACTTTGCAAAAACATCCTGTAATTAATCTGTCCAAGAATATAAGTGACCAAGCTGGGTGTAGTAGTACACACCTATAATCCAAGCACTCTGGGAGGCTGATGCAGTAGGAATCCAAGTTATAGCCCAGTCTAGGCAACTTAGCAGAAATCTTAAATAAATAAGTCAAGGGATAGCTGGGAGTTTAGCTCAGTGTGAAGGCCCTGGATTCAATTCCGTGTTGTAAAAAAAAAAAAAAAATAGAAAAAAAAAAAAAAAAAAAAAAAAAAGTACATGACCAAGTAGAAAATTTTAGCAAAAGAAGCAAATCAATGTTTTAGAACTGAAAAATGTAACAACTGAAATTTAAAATTCAATGACTGAGTTTAGGAGGAGATTAGAATGCATCAAAATAAGTAATTAATAAACAGAGGGGAAAAAAATCCAGACTAAAACATTTAAAACTAAAAAGATAGAAAATGCATATATGAAAAAGATGGAACTTATGGGCCAGGATAAATTAGTCTAACAAATACTGGAATCCCAGAGGAAAAGAAAGCAAATAGGGCAGAAGCCCTATATACAAAGAGATAGTATCTGAAAATTGCTCAGAGCTGATGAAAGACATTAAATCTTAGATTAAAAATACCACTACAAAACACAAAATGGGATAAACATATGCATATAAACATATATATCCACATAGGTGCATGATAATAAAATTGCTAAAACACTTAAAGACAAAAAGTTCTGAAAAGCTGCTACAGATAAGAACAATAACAAAACTGCTAACTTCTCTAAAAAAAAAAAAACTGTGGAAGCCAGAAGACAATGGAATATTTTCAATGTTCTTAACTACCACTTTGGAATTCAAACTCCCAAGAGAACATCTTTCAAATGTGAAGGTCAAATAAAGATCTTTTTAGACAAACTAAAACTGAAAGAATTTATCAGCAGCAGACCTGTACTAAAAGAAATATTAAAGAGAATTCAGAGATAAATGATCCCAAAGGGAAACTCAGACATGCAAGAAGCAACAGAAAAAAATACTGACTATATAAAACAATAAAAATCAATTTTTGTGAAATATGTGTGATTGTGTAGTGTATGTGTATAAGTATATGTGAGTGTCTTTATATACACAGTCACTCTGGATCTGTGAGGCTTATGTATTATATGTAATCTGATGATGACTCGAGTATATAGAAAAATATAAAGTATACAAGAGGATTAGGCACCCATCTTGGGTGTTCATGGATTTGGGTGTTTGTTGGGGGAAAAGGGCAGGCTAGAATCAATGCCCGTGTATACACAGGTGCACACACACACACACACACACACACACTCTACAAACATTTGACAAGAAAAGCACCGACAGGCTGGGATTTAGCTCAGTGGTTCCGGCACCTGCCTTGCAAACGGCAAGGGCCAGAGTTCGATCCCTGGTACCAAAATTAAAAAAAAAAAAAAAAAAAAAAAAAAAAAAAAAAGAAAAGAAAAGCACCAACACCAGGAGGAGAATAAGTGGAATTCAAGGGTCTGTGCCCATTGCATCGTCTGGGGTGGTTAGCTAACACAATGCATACTATAAGTTCTGTGGTAATCATGGAGTAGCTCTTCAAATGTTTATAATTAACAGTTTAAAATATTTTCTTAATCCACAGGAACACACAGAGGAAAAAAGCACATAAAGGGTGTGCAACATTTAAAAAAATCAATAGAAACATGATTGATTTAAATCCAATATACATCAGTATTTATATAAATATAAATAGATGAAACATTTTAGTTAAAAATCAAAGGTGGCAAAAATATTAAAAGAAAGAAAGAAACTACCACTAGTGTATTCCGTTTACAAGACATACATTAAATATAAGGACATAGAAAGATTAAAAGTAAAAAGACAAAAGCAGTCTATCAATCATTCAATCACTCCATCCATCCATCGCACACTGGCCCCTCCACCGACAGCCAGTGATCACTGAGACCATGATCTCAACACAGCCCATCCTGGAAATTATGTGTAATCTAAAATGCAAAATATTGCCTTCATTAAAGAATGCCTATTATTTCATTGGGTTAAATCTTTTACAAGAAAAGAAGAGACAAATAGGCCAGAGGCGGGATTCACGGCCGAAGAGGCTGTTTGGAAGCAGCTGCAGCTGTTCACTGCTTTGAGTTGCAATCGGAAAGACCCAGGTTCACACCCCTCCCAGAGTCAGACAAGGAGGGATGTGTGGACCTGGGGTCAAGGGGTAAGCAATTTTCAAGAACTGAGTTATTTATTGAGGATTAAAAAGAATGCCCTATAAAACCCAAAGCTTAAATTGTTCTCAAGAAGAACAATGGATTTCTCTAATCAAGAGAAATGTTTTCTAAATCATATGGACTACATCATATATCAAGATTTTTTTTCTGCTACTAAAGATCAAACCCAGGGGCCCTGTACCACTTAACTGCATCACCAGCTCTTCTTCCTCTCTCTCTCTCTCGCTCTCTCTCTTGCTCTCTCTCTTTCTTTTACTGGGAATTGAAACAAGGATTGAACCTAGCACCTTTACACTGAGCTACACCACCTTTTTATTTATTTACTTTTACTTTGAAACAAGGTCTCTCTAAATCACCAAATTGCTTAAGCTGGACTTCAACTTGCAGTCATCCTGTCTCAGCCTCCTGAAAAGCTTGGATTACAGGAGTGCACCTGGTATCAAGATTTTTTTTAATTACATGAATTATTGGAATAGTATATATCTCCTTAGTTGAAAAGAATGAATCTCCGTATTTTACTTATTCCCTGTGTTTTCACTTAATAGTAACTTGAGGCCTCCACAGCTCCTCCCTCAGGTCATCACTGAATCCCTGCCCTACTTCCAGAAAGTGAAAGTCTCGAACCTGTTCAGTGAGAAACTTCCAGGGCCAGCTGACTTGGGCAGCTGCACACAGATCTTTGGGATTCAGGAAGGAAAAGATATACAGAGAAATGAAGCGTGGTAGCACGGTAGAGAAATCCACTCTGGCCACTTGCTTCCTTTCTGAAAACCAGTCTTGGACAAACCTAAAAAAAAAAGATACAGATATGTGTTTCCGAGTGCTAATATGTAAAATTCAGCTTATCGTACCACATCTGCATGTGTTATGTGGTTTTTGTTTTTATTTTGTGGTACAGAGCATTGACCCAAGCATACTAGGCAAGCACCGCATAGTAAGCTACAACCCAGCCCTTTTTAATGTATTTTCAGACAGGGTCTTGCTAACCCTGGCTCACATCTACATTTGTCGGACACATCACAATTCATTGTTCTCCTTGAAAGAGTCATATGCCTTTAAAATAATTCACAGATTTTATTTTTCCCATGCATTTATCATTTCCTGTGCTCTTTATTCCTGTTTATAAATCTGTTTCCATCTAGTAACGATGCCCTTGGCCTGAAAACTTCTTTTAGTATTTCTTTTGTGTAGTTTTCCTGACAATGAATTTAGTCAGTTGCCTTTATCTGACAGTGTCTTTATTTCATTTTAATGTTTATGCTGCTATTATGACCTCATTAACTGATTTCAGTATTTATCAACTTGTTACCACTGTAACAAGTTCGTCCTTCCTCTTCTTCCCCTTCTTGTTCTCCTTCTCCTCCTTCTCCTCCTCCCCTTCTTTTTCCCCTTCCCCTCCTCTTCCTCCTCCTCCTCCCCTTTCTCCCTCCTCCTCCTCTTTTCCTTCTCTTCTTCTTCCCACACCCCCATATCATTTTAGAGCCGATCCCAAACATCATATTATCTCATCCATAAATGTTTCAGTATGAGTCACTAAACAATAAAGACATTTTTTAAACATACTGTAACACCATCTTCTTACTTCACAATTTCAACAATTCTGAAATGAGATGGTCTTTGCATGACAACATCCACCACGGCTCTTTCCCGCCTTGCATCACATGCCACCCAAGCACAGGGAGGTCTACAACGGGCACAAAACCCAAAGCCCCACCCACAATCATCTCAAAGGCTGTGTATGTTGCAGAACCTTGAGGCATTTCATGGACCACAAAAAAAAAAAAAAAAAAAAAAAAAAGGCACAGCTGACCCTGTACCAACTAAAATAAATACATAAATAAATGAACCTTAACACCTGATCATCCTGTTAGTGATAAAGATCTTCTGTAGTCCCAAGTTGCCAAACAGGTGATCATGTTTGAATAACAACTGATAGAGCAGGAAGTTTGGAAGCAATTCTGGCAGAAGTAAATCCAGCTTTTCCCTGGGGCCTTTTGTCTCCTTTGCCCTCAGACATCTCTGACCAATCTCACAGCTGATTGGATAATGGATAAAGTTTTACTAAGTATGAATCCACCAAAACTCATCCACCTCAGTCCTTGGAGGTTACAGAACTTTTTCTTCCACTGCTAAATGGCTACTGCTGTCCATTGTCACTGAAGCCCAGGGGACCTGAATTTAGAAAGAATAGTCATGACAATAAATCTCACTATGCAGTGGGTCTTCTAGTTTCAAGTGAAATGAAAATGACATCTCTAATAGAGAATCAAAAGACCTTAGTCATCCTTCTGAATGGGTTGCTAAGCACATGTTAGAACCAGAGATGGTCCTGACCACTACTTTACCCAAACTGCTGCCTTAAACTGAAGCTTCACTTTCAACCCTCATAACTTAAAAATAGCAAAGCCCACCATCAAGAGGGGCAAATCTAACTCAGCCTAATGATGAGCACTGGACACTCTGTGGCACCACGGGCCATATGCACTGTTCCAAGACAAAGATTTACCTTAACAGACAAATTGGCAGTCAACTTGTAAATTCTGGGACCATGCAGGATTGCAATATTAGGATACTTCCTTATGAATCAGATACAGTACCCTAATATATATGAGCTCAATCTTTACGCTTAATCTTCATGTTTATATGAAGTGACCACATAAGGAAAAAAAGAATGCTTTACCAAAAAAAAACAAAAACAAAAACAAAACACAAAAAACTTGATCAACAGCCCTGCATTCGCCAGTTAGGTAATGCTCAAAAGAATTACAATAGTGAAACTACCATAAAGAATAGAACCAGAGTACTGGGCAAGAAATTATCTTAATTCACACAAGAGCCATTCCTACCCACAAAGCCTGTACAATTATCAACTATGCAAAGTTGAAGACCTCTGTAAGTCCAGCTTTTCCGAGGGTCCTCAATTATTACAAAAGTGCATATCCTCCCCCTTCTGTGGTTGAACTACTTGGGCAGAAGAGAATCTATGGAGGGTGGTATAGGCCTCCCTCTGTTCTTGAGTAGTACTCAACTGAAGAGGAACGTATATTCCTCTGTTCCTTTCCATGCTCGGCTTGCCCTCAAGGAATAGATGGTTCGTATTCTGACTGAAGGCACTGGGTGGACATGAGTTTGGACACTGACTCTACCTCTTCTCTTCTCAGAAGTCATTCATGATTCTGACATAGTGACTCCTTCCTTCCCGGGGAACAGAGACTACAAAAGTGCACTCTAGATCATCCTGAAGGGAAGATGACAGGCCTTGATTGATGAACAAGGAGATGGAAGTCAGTGAGTTTGAGGGGGGTACAAAACATCCTTTCCTACCACAGATACAGGCTACGCACCTGCTGAGTCTCAGCCTTCCATCACTTTCTCAGTGTCGGGTGTGTTTGCCCCCACTTGGCCCAACTGCATGAGATTTTACTGATATCCCACTTGAGAACAAAATCCTAAAACATGCTTACAGTTCAGTGCCAGTTACAGAAAATGCAGAGAATTGCATTCAATGAGCCTCATGTTCTGGACTGAGAAAGACACAGCCAGATGGCCCCCTTTGCATAGCCTTACCAGAGCACTCTCTTGGCAGATCTGGTTTAGCTCAACGGAAGCACAGCTGCTGAGTTCCAACATTGCCTGTTTAATAGGGCAGCTTCCACAACTAAGGAGCCATGATCACCTAATCCTATAAACCCTCTGTTTCTCTCCCACACACCATAACCATATACGGGATGATGGGTGCGGAGCCTTTCTCTACTTGCACTCCGGTATGACTAAAGTCTGTGCAGCGCGTCTCCACATTGCCTAAGCCGTGAGATGCTAGAAGCTGAAGGGATTATAAGCTTTGCTACTCGTCTGTTCTCAAGTGTCTTCTCAAAGAACTCTGTATCTGTACCTTAAATGGAACTGTGTGTGTGTGTGTGTGTGTGTGTGTGTGTGACGTCACCCGTTCACATAGGAGGACAATAAACGGCACACAACAAGTGCTCAATAAATATCTGTTGAATAAACACGCAACAGAAAAATAATTATGAAATCCCTTCTCCAATCTGTGAGGGAGAAACCAGTGTTAAAAAGGTCATATCCTAGGTTTCCATTGTGTAAATTATAGAATTGAGGAATTTGACCTGCTTTGATTTACTTATGCTGGAAAGGAGGGACAGTCATCTGCATGTATGGGATGGAGTCTGGGACCTGGGAATCTAATGGTCTTTCTGCAGACTTTTACATAATCTCCCTAATTTTAGCCTTTGATTCCCCATTTCTTAAAAATTTTATGTAATGAGCTGGTTTGGCTCACCTCAATTTTCTTCCTTGTGCATGTTAAGCCTCATACGCCTTTTGATATTCTGTTACTCACCATTTCTCCATTCAATTTCCACTTATACTTTTGTAATTTGTGGTTAGAGGCATCTCTTAGTTTCACCCAAAGCATGTTTGTATCTTGTTCTTTATTATTTCAGGTGAGTTTTCCAAGAGAAAGAAGTTCTAGAACTATTTTCATTCTGTTGATTTAAAACTGGAACTAAACATTTTTAATAGAGTGGAAACTCAAAGAAATGTTGTATTCACTTAATTTGTTTGCCTTTTTTTTTATAAAAAGATCACAGTGTTGGAAGAGATCTGTTTCTTTTTCCTTCTTGAGTGGCAGCCTCTGATACAAGGACAAATCTCTTCCCCTGTGGAGCTTAACTAATGCACTATATTATGGGGCTCATTTATTGCTACTTTTGATACCCAGGCAGGCCACTCTGAAATGCCATTCCTTCTGTTTGGGTAGCAGGTACAGAAGAGGCCAGCCATTTTCTAATGGGTCAGTGATAGCATTCACTCAGCCTGGGATGGCCAGAGTGAAAACTAAGGGTCACCTAGGAGAGGAGAGTAACTGGCCTGTCCTCTTGTAAAGTGTCAAGTAATACAGGACAAGGAAAAGTGAGCAACTGTTCCATACTGAACATGGATGTAGAGATATGAAATCTAAGTACAATGGGCAATGCTGGCCTAGACTCTGGACAAAAAGGAAGTGATGACCATGAAGGACATTGCTGGACTGTGACTCGGATCTGTGAGTTAGACAGCAGTGCCACATCAGAGCTGGCATCTGATATGGTCTTTCCGCAGAGTCCTTATTTGTTGGGAAACACACAGACATGTTTACGGTTAATGAGCACCGTTTTTGCAACTTACTCTCATGTGATTCAGGACAATACTGTAAATGAATACACAGAGGAAGCTAGGTGAAAAGGATGAAGAACTCATTTGTACTCTTCTTGCAACTATTCTGTAGGTTAGAATTTACTGTAAAATAAGATCTTTTTAAAGTAGAAATTATCTGCTTCAGTTCTAAAATACTGTCAGTATATTTTGCATGTGCTTACTCTGCTGGACCTTGTTTTAAGTCACTGCTCATGTGTACTTGTGTGTGCGTGTGTGTGTGTGTGTGTTTTCCTGGGGTTTTAACTCAGCACCTTCACACTGAGCTACATCCCAAGCCCTTTATTTTTGATTTTGAAACAGGGTCTCACTATGTTGCCCAGGCTAAGTTCAAACATTCAGTCCTCCTGCCTCCGTCTCTGTCCACACAGCCTTTTCACTTTGTAGCAAAGCAGAGTACCTTAAAATGGACCAGTTGATGTGTAAGTCTGAGGAAAGTGGTGAATATGTGTGTGTATGTGTGTTTGTATGTGCAAGCAGACAGGCAAAGAATGGAGGTATCAGGTGCTAACAGCAAATGGTATCTATAAACAGAAGAGTCACTTGGGTATCTCCTCAGAACAGACGATAAAACTC